GATTAGTTTTCATCCATTGCTTCTTGTTCTACCCTCAGCTGCCTTGGAGAATAGTTTGACCCCCTCTTCTTTGTGGAAGTCCCTGAGATATTGGAACACTGCTATCATGGTATCACTAGTCCTTCTTTTCAACTAGATGTACCCAGTTCCTGCAACCGTTCCTCATATGTTTTAGCCTCCAGTCCCCTAATCATCTTTGTTCTTCTTCTCTGAACTCTTTCTAGAGTCTCCACATCTTTTGTACATTGTGGCAAACAAAACTGGATGCAGCATTCCAAGTGTGGCCTTACCAAGGCACTTTAAAGTGGTATATATAATAAAATAAAAATGATACATGTGTTAGAAGACCTCTAAGGTTCTTTTCAGCCCTATGATTCTAAGTTCTATGTCAATTAATTTGCACATAAGAGACTACGTTCTCCAGCTTGATACAGAATTATTAACGCTGATGCTCTGCACATGGTTCTTCATTCAGTTGTGGACTCCCCTTATGGCACTGCGATTCAAACCCACATTTCGATGGCTGGTTAATGACATTGTTACAGGCAGCCTGATTAAAAGCTGTACTGAAATTGAGGTACATTCCAAGTCTTTTCTTTATCAATCAGAGTGGTTACCTTGTCAAAGAAGGAGCCAAGATTTGTTTCACACAACTGTTCTGGGCTGTGTTTTATGAGATAGGCCAGAAAAGAGTTTACAGAGTTTGATGCCTTTCCAGGTCAAAATGTGGGAGCAGATCTCAATTCAAGTAGGGAGATAATCCATAGAGCGGGGCCTCCCCAGCCCAACGACGCCCGAGGCTCCAGTTTGTAATATGCCTTCAGGAAAGAAATGTTGGTTTATTGGTGGGAGAAAGAGGTACCCTACAAATGCAACTCTGGCATGTGCACAGCCAAGATTAGCTCAGTTGGTTCTCCTCCCATGATAGCAATGTTTGCCAATAACCAGGTCAATGGCAGTACATTGATCCTTATAAACCCTTTACATAAGCAATCTTGTGTGTTTGGAGGATTAGTTTTACATTATGGTATTCCCTGTGACACTTTATGGCAGCAAAGGTGGGATTTAAAGAAGCAGGATAGGAAGTATTGTTGACACCTTTGAACTTAAATGTTGGAGAAGACTCCGGAGGCTACCACGGTCAGCCAAGAAAAGAAACAAGTGGATCATCGAGCAAATCAACCCAGCATTCCTACTTGAGGTACAAGTGACCTGTGTCAAATTATTCTACTTTAAAGGAGAAGAGTTGTAGCTCAGGGTTGAAATGAGGAACCCTTGGTGCTCTCTGAGCTTGCTTGTTTTCTTGCAGAAAAAGGGGCAATTTGTCAAGAGTGCCAGTCAGAGTGCATGACGGAAACTCTTTAATTTCACAATGTATGGACTTAATCATAGTTTCAATTGAGAAACTGTGGCCATCTTAGACCAAGCCAAGTCCTCAAATACTAGAGAAGTCCTGGAAGCCTGGCACTGTATCAAATTGGCCATCAATAGACAAATAATATCTACCTACTGTACAAAGGGCAGTCCTGTTGGGAAGGACTTCAAGGTCCTTCAAGGTTGCGCTTCAAGGTGCTACTCACCATTCATAAAGCCCTTCATGGTAGTGGATCTGACTATT